CCCGACACACTCACTGATGCACACCCGACACACTCACTGATGCACACCCGACACACTCACTGATGCACACCCGACACACTCACTGCTGCACACCCGACACACTCACTGATGCACACCCGACACACTCACTGCTGTACACCCGACACACTCACTGCTGTACACCCGACACACTCACTGATGCACACCCGACACACTCACTGCTGTACACCCGACACACTCACTGATGCACACCCGACACACTCACTGATGCACACCCGACACACTCACTGATGCACACCCGACACACTCACTGATGCACACCCGACACACTCACTGCTGTACACCCGACACACTCACTGCTGTACACCCGACACACTCACTGCTGTACACCCGACACACTCACTGATGCACACCCGACACACTCACTGCTGTACACCCGACACACTCACTGCTGCACACCCGACACACTCACTGCTGTACACCCGACACACTCACTGATGCACACCCGACACACTCACTGATGCACACCCGACACACTCACTGCTGTACACCCGACACACTCACTGCTGTACACCCGACACACTCACTGATGCACACCCGACACACTCACTGCTGCACACCCGACACACTCACTGCTGCACACCCGACACACTCACTGCTGTACACCCGACACACTCACTGATGCACACCCGACACACTCACTGATGCACACCCGACACACTCACTGATGCACACCCGACACACTCACTGCTGTACACCCGACACACTCACTGATGCACACCCGACACACTCACTGCTGCACACCCACACACTCACTGCTGCACACCCGACACACTCACTGCTGCACACCCGACACACTCACTGCTGCACACCCGACACACTCACTGCTGCACACCCGACACACTCACTGATGCACACCCGACACACTCACTGATGCACACCCGACACACTCACTGATGCACACCCGACACACTCACTGCTGCACACCCGACACACTCACTGATGCACACCCGACACACTCACTGATGCACACCCGACACACTCACTGATGCACACCCGACACACTCACTGCTGTACACCCGACACACTCACTGATGCACACCCGACACACTCACTGATGCACACCCGACACACTCACTGATGCACACCCGACACACTCACTGCTGTACACCCGACACACTCACTGCTGTACACCCGACACACTCACTGATGCACACCCGACACACTCACTGCTGTACACCCGACACACTCACTGCTGCACACCCGACACACTCACTGCTGCACACCCGACACACTCACTGATGCACACCCGACACACTCACTGATGCACACCCGACACACTCACTGCTGCACACCCGACACACTCACTGATGTACACCCGACACACTCACTGATGTACACCCGACACACTCACTGATGTACACCCGACACACTCACTGATGCACACCCGACACACTCACTGATGCACACCCGACACACTCACTGATGCACACCCGACACACTCACTGATGCACACCCGACACACTCACTGATGTACACCCGACACACTCACTGATGTACACCCGACACACTCACTGATGCACACCCGACACACTCACTGATGCACACCCGACACACTCACTGATGCACACCCGACACACTCACTGCTGCACACCCGACACACTCACTGATGCACACCCGACACACTCACTGATGCACACCCGACACACTCACTGATGCACACCCGACACACTCACTGATGTACACCCGACACACTCACTGATGTACACCCGACACACTCACTGATGTACACCCGACACACTCACTGCTGCACACCCGACACACTCACTGCTGCACACCCGACACACTCACTGATGTACACCCGACACACTCACTGATGCACACCCGACACACTCACTGCTGCACACCCGACACACTCACTGATGTACACCCGACACACTCACTGATGTACACCCGACACACTCACTGATGTACACCCGACACACTCACTGATGCACACCCGACACACTCACTGATGCACACCCGACACACTCACTGATGCACACCCGACACACTCACTGATGCACACCCGACACACTCACTGCTGTACACCCGACACACTCACTGATGCACACCCGACACACTCACTGATGCACACCCGACACACTCACTGCTGTACACCCGACACACTCACTGATGCACACCCGACACACTCACTGCTGTACACCCGACACACTCACTGATGCACACCCGACACACTCACTGATGCACACCCGACACACTCACTGATGCACACCCGACACACTCACTGATGCACACCCGACACACTCACTGATGCACACCCGACACACTCACTGATGCACACCCGACACACTCACTGATGTACACCCGACACACTCACTGATGTACACCCGACACACTCACTGATGCACACCCGACACACTCACTGATGCACACCCGACACACTCACTGATGCACACCCGACACACTCACTGATGCACACCCGACACACTCACTGATGCACACCCGACACACTCACTGATGCACACCCGACACACTCACTGATGCACACCCGACACACTCACTGATGCACACCCGACACACTCACTGCTGCACACCCGACACACTCACTGCTGCACACCCGACACACTCACTGATGCACACCCGACACACTCACTGATGCACACCCGACACACTCACTGATGCACACCCGACACACTCACTGATGCACACCCGACACACTCACTGATGCACACCCGACACACTCACTGATGCACACCCGACACACTCACTGATGCACACCCGACACACTCACTGATGCACACCCGACACACTCACTGATGTACACCCGACACACTCACTGATGCACACCCGACACACTCACTGATGCACACCCGACACACTCACTGATGCACACCCGACACACTCACTGATGTACACCCGACACACTCACTGATGTACACCCGACACACTCACTGATGCACACCCGACACACTCACTGCTGTTTAACACATGGCTGACAGAGTTGACCTGAATACTCTCCCAAACCGACATTTCGACATAATGTTGTGTGTCTGTCCATTCAGACACGAGAGAGAGCTCAGTTCAGTCCTCGCGCTGTGTGTGTGTGTGTGTGTGTGTGTGTGTGTGTGTGTGTGTGTGTGTGTGTGTGTGTGTGTGCGCAAAAGCGTTGCCACTCTTATTCAGATCTACACGTCTGCTCTACTCGTTCTCCCAGACGTTCACATTTTTTACCGTTTTATGAATGCAGCGCATGTGAACCCGTGTGCGGCGGGAGAGCAGTCACAGGACACACGTGCGCATCACACGCAGGACATCCGCTCTGACTCGAGCGCTTCCCAAACCGGCACTATCTAACATTTTTGTCTAGTTTTTATTCGTTGACGAAAATGTCAATAGATGTTCCTCATAGCCGTTTGATAGACGTACCGCGGAGCAAGTCTCGGGTGAGTCGCCGGCCAGTGATAGTAACTACTGTTAAGGCCTGTTCACACCGGGACGAATTTCGCACGCGATATTCGCCGACGTTTAACGCCTCGTGACTAAACAAAGGGCGCCAGTGTGAGTGTGCACACCGACGCGATAAACGCCACGCGTAAAAGCGTCATTTTTTTTAAACGCCTCTGGTTCGTTTTTTTTAGTTTGACGCGCCGCATCAAAAAACTATCCGACCAATGAGATTGGAGCTTTTGCTCACGTGTCTGGAGCTCCTGAAGTTACAGTAAAACACAACTTGGGGGCGCTCAAACACAAAACGGTCTTGCTGAGCACACACACGCAACGGCGAAGAAGATATACGCCAAGTAGCGTCTACACTGCCGGGAAGAAATAAGACGAGGAAGATGCGAGGCCAGATGAATGTAGAGCTGCTGGTCTCGTTGCTGTCGGAACATAAAGAACTATATGACAAACGCCACAGCGACTACACAAATCTTGATAAAAGAGAATGTTATGGAGTGGTATTGCAGAGCAAATGGGCGCCATCTAATGTCAGGGAATGAATTTGCATGTTCACTCGGCTCATCGTCAGCCAAAATCGCTTGGGTGTGAACACAAAAAACGTGTTGAAAAACGCTGGCGAATAACGCTGTCGTCCCGGTGTGTACGAGCCTTTAGGCTGTTTACCGATGACCGTTTGACCGATGGTTGACCGCATCAACGTTAACCGATCAAAGTTGTCTGTGATCTCTAAAGTAGGCTATTATAGACAGTAGACTAAACGCTACTCCAGTTAGCCATCTCATTCCAAGATATTTTTGTGTGAAGTGAACAAATCCCTCACACTCAATTTTTCACAGCGTTTGGGTTCGCGCGCTCACAAGGTTTGCGAAGAGTAAAGGCTACAGGCTAAAACACTCGAGGGTCGAGCCAGGGCAGACGACAGGAGGAAGTGTGCAAAGAAAAGTGTGTGTGGGACCATTTCACCAAAAAGAATGACACAGATGTAAGTTGCAACTTGTGTGATACAGTGCTGGAATACAGTAGTAGCACATCATCTGTGATGCATCGCCTGAGAACGCGACACCCGCTAGCCTCTTCGGGTGAGAGCCAAAGCCAGCCTACCGTGTCCTCTACGCTAGCTCAGCGCTCAGAGACTATTATAGTGTGTGTGTGTGTGTGTGTGTGTGTGTGTGTGTGAGAGAGCGGGAGATGCGACAGAGGTGCGACATTGCAGGCGCGGCTCGAAATGGCTGGTATTTCTAATAGCGTAGCATATTTTCAACCGGCTAATGAGGCTCGGTGGTCGGTCAAGGAAATCTTTAGTTTTCGCCATCGCTAACTAGTAGAGCGGCAGCATGAGAAGACACGCTCGGTTGTCGTCAGCGCTTGGTCGGTTAATTTTGGCATTTTCTAAGTAAGTTTGCCTAACAAAACAGAAGCAGACATCGAAAATGTCTTCCGTCCTGGAGAATATTCCTGTATCGGCGACGCCGTTAGTCTCGAGCGCGGCCCATAAACCCCACATGCCATAACATGTTGGAGTGTTTAATGCTGAAACTGTGTGTGTGTGTGTGGTCCAGATGCAGGAGATGTACGATATGATCATGAAGCACAAGCGTGCGATGCAGGACATGCAGCTGATGTGGGAGAAGGCCATCCGGAACCATCAGCACGAGTACGACAGCGACGAGGAGCTCGACCCCGAGGCCGGCACCTGGGAGCACCGGCTCCGGCAGATGGAGATGGAGAAGACCAGAGGTCAGAGGTCACGCACGACACCGGTGCTCCGCTCGGACTGAGGGCTGTGTGTGTGTGACGCGTGTGCTGTGTGTGTGTTTCTCTCAGAGTGGGCGGAGCAGCTGACTGACATGGGCAAAGGGAAGCATTTCATCGGTGACTTCCTTCCTCCTGATGAGCTGGAGAAGTTCATGGAGACGTTCAAAGCTCTGAAGGTGAGAGCGAGTCGAGTCTTTATTCATCTTCACTCAGTCCAGATCGCGTCACAGTAATGAACAGCAGAATATCAGAATCAGTGATGAATCTTCATCAGATATGAGACACATTCAGATTCAGTAAAGCAGCTCTACAGAAGATCAGAGTCATTATTCACATCGGTTCAGTGTTCACTCAGTTCAGGGTTCACTCAGTTCAGTGTTCACTCAGTTCAGTGTTGATTCAGTTCAGTGTTGATTCAGTTCAGTGTTCACTCAGTTCAGTTTTCACTCAGTTCAGTGTTCACTCAGTTCAGTGTTGATTCAGTTCAGTGTTCACTCAGTTCAGTGTTCACTCAGTTCAGTGTTCACTCAGTTCAATGTTGATTCAGTTCAGTGTTGTTTCAGTTCAGTGTTGATTCAGTTCAGTGTTCACTCAGTTCCGTGTTCACTCAGTTCCGTGTTCACTCAGTTCCGTGTTCACTCAGTTCCGTGTTCACTCAGTTCCGTGTTCACTCAGTTCCGTGTTCACTCAGTTCCGTGTTCACTCAGTTCAGTGTTGATTCAATTCAGTGTTCACTCAGTTCAGTGTTGATTCAGTTCAGTGTTGATTCAGTTCAGTGTTGATTCAGTTCAGTGTTCACTCAGTTCAGTGTTGATTCAGTTCAGTGTTGATTCAGTTCCGTGTTCACTCAGTTCAGTGTTCACTCAGTTCAGTGTTCACTCAGTTCAGTGTTCACTCAGTTCAGTGTTCACTCAGTTCAGTGTTGATTCAGTTCAGTGTTCACTCAGTTCAGTGTTCACTCAGTTCAGTGTTGATTCAGTTCAGTGTTCACTCAGTTCAGTGTTGATTCAGTTCAGTGTTCACTCAGTTCAGTGTTCACTCAGTTCAGTGTTTTGATTCAGTTCAGTGTTGATTCAGTTCAGTGTTCACTCAGTTCAGTGTTCACTCAGTTCAGTGTTCACTCAGTTCAGTGTTCACTCAGTTCAGTGTTGATTCAGTTCAGTGTTCACTCAGTTCAGTGTTCACTCAGTTCAGTGTTGATTCAGTTCAGTGTTCACTCAGTTCAGTGTTCACTCAGTTCAGTGTTCACTCAGTTCAGTGTTCACTCAGTTCAGTGTTGATTCAGTTCAGTGTTCACTCAGTTCAGTGTTCACTCAGTTCAGTGTTCACTCAGTTCAGTGTTGATTCAGTTCAGTGTTCACTCAGTTCAGTGTTGATTCAGTTCAGTGTTGATTCAGTTCAGTGTTGATTCAGTTCAGTGTTGATTCAGTTCAGTGTTGATTCAGTTCAGTGTTCACTCAGTTCAGTGTTCACTCAGTTCAGTGTTCACTCAGTTCAGTGTTCACTCAGTTCAGTGTTCACTCAGTTCAGTGTTGATTCAGTTCAGTGTTCACTCAGTTCAGTGTTGATTCAGTTCAGTGTTGATTCAGTTCAGTGTTCACTCAGTTCAGTGTTCACTCAGTTCAGTGTTCACTCAGTTCAGTGTTCACTCAGTTCAGTGTTGATTCAGTTCAGTGTTCACTCAGTTCAGTGTTCACTCAGTTCAGTGTTCACTCAGTTCAGTGTTCACTCAGTTCAGTGTTGATTCAGTTCAGTGTTCACTCAGTTCAGTGTTGATTCAGTTCAGTGTTGATTCAGTTCAGTGTTGATTCAGTTCAGTGTTGATTCAGTTCAGTGTTGATTCAGTTCAGTGTTGATTCAGTTCAGTGTTGATTCAGTTCAGTGTTCACTCAGTTCAGTGTTCACTCAGTTCAGTGTTCACTCAGTTCAGTGTTCACTCAGTTCAGTGTTCACTCAGTTCAGTGTTCACTCAGTTCAGTGTTTCAGTGTTCACTCAGTTCAGTGTTCACTCAGTTCAGTGTTCACTCAGGTTCAGTTTTCACTCAGTTCAGTGTTGACTCAGTTCAGTGTTGACTCAGTTCAGTGTTGACTCAGTTCAGTGTTGACTCAGTTCAGTGTTCACTCAGGTTCAGTGTTCACTCAGGTTCAGTGTTCACTCAGTTCAGTGTTCACTCAGTTTCAGTTTTCACTCAGTTCAGTTTTCACTCAGTTCAGTGTTCACTCAGTTCAGTGTTCTCTCAGTTCAGTGTTCTCTCAGTTCAGTGTTGATTCAGTTCAGTGTTGATTCAGTTCAGTGTTGATTCAGTTCAGTGTTCACTCAGTTCAGTGTTCACTCAGTTCAGTGTTCACTCAGTTCAGTGTTCACTCAGTTCAGTGTTCACTCAGTTCAGTGTTCACTCAGTTCAGTGTTTTGATTCAGTTCAGTGTTGATTCAGTTCAGTGTTCACTCAGTTCAGTGTTGATTCAGTTCAGTGTTTTGATTCAGTTCAGTGTTGATTCAGTTCAGTGTTCATTCAGTTCAGTGTTCACTCAGTTCAGTGTCTGCTAAACTGTACCATGTGAATGTGACTCAGTGACACAGGAAGCAGTTCTGGTGTGACGTGTGTGTGTGTGTGATGCAGGAGGGCCGAGACCCGGATTACTCCGAGTACAAGGAGTTCAAGCTGACGGTGGAGAACATCGGCTTCCAGATGCTGATGAAGATGGGCTGGAGAGAAGGAGACGGCCTGGGCTCTGATGGACAGGGCATCAAAAACCCGGTTCACAGGTGAACACACACAAACACACACACACACAGGCTACACACTAGGGGTGTAACGATACACGTATTCGTATTGAACCGTTTCGGCTTTTGGTACGCATTTTTTAACCGAACGGTTCGTTGGACCATTTTTCCTGCCGACCAAAATTTCGCTATTTCAAATGTAGGCGCGTCACGCGTGGCAAGCGCGCTCATAATGTAAGAGATACTGGCGTGACCACAACATTGCCCAACATCAAATGGCAAATGTAATGTAAGCGGAACGAATTGTGTGTTTGACGGACCGTTTATCAGTTTGGACCAATGCAGCGCGAGCCGATCTTCATCATCAGCACTGTCACTACACAGCCAAATCTAGTAAAGAAAGCATTTGAATTCGCCACTGAAGTAATAACATCGCTGCGAGATCTAGTGAGAAACATTCAAATTTCTCTGTTATTAACGGATCAAACAGCGCTGACGTGGAAACCAGGAAGAAACATTGTGCCATGAATGAACTATCCAGTGTCCACAGATCAGCACATTCACCATGGGTTTACTGTAGTAACACTACTAACGTTCGGATCGTGAGCTGAGTGAGATCGGATCAGGAGATGAGTGAGATCAGGAGATGAGTGAGGTCGGGTCAGGAGATGAGTGAGATCGGATCAGGAGATGAGTGAGATCGGATCAGGAGATGAGTGAGATCGGATCAGGAGATGAGTGAGATCGGATCAGGAGATGAGTGAGATCGGTCGGGTCAGGAGATGAGTGAGATCGGATCAGGAGATGAGTGAGATCGGATCAGGAGATGAGTGAGATCGGTCGGGTCAGGAGATGAGTGAGGTCGGGTCAGGAGATGAGTGAGATCGGATCAGGAGATGAGTGAGATCGGATCAGGAGATGAGTGAGATCGGATCAGGAGATGAGTGAGATCGGGTCAGGAGATGAGTGAGATCGGATCAGGAGATGAGTGAGATCGGGTCAGGAGATGAGTGAGGTCGGGTCAGGAGATGAGTGAGATCGGATCAGGAGATGAGTGAGATCGGATCAGGAGATGAGTGAGATCGGTCGGGTCAGGAGATGAGTGAGGTCGGGTCAGGAGATGAGTGAGATCGGATCAGGAGATGAGTGAGATCGGTCGGGTCAGGAGATGAGTGAGATCGGGTCAGGAGATGAGTGAGATCGGGTCAGGAGATGAGTGAGGTCGGGTCAGGAGATGAGTGAGATCGGATCAGGAGATGAGTGAGATCGGATCAGGAGATGAGTGAGATCGGTCGGGTCAGGAGATGAGTGAGGTCGGGTCAGGAGATGAGTGAGATCGGATCAGGAGATGAGTGAGGTCGCATCAGGAGATGAGTGAGATCGGTCGGATCAGGAGATGAGTGAGGTCGGGTCAGGAGATGAGTGAGGTCGGGTCAGGAGATGAGTGAGATCGGATCAGGAGATGAGTGAGGTCGGGTCAGGAGATGAGTGAGATCGGTCGGATCAGGAGATGAGTGAGGTCGGGTCAGGAGATGAGTGAGGTCGGGTCAGGAGATGAGTGAGGTCGGATCAGGAGATGAGTGAGATCGGATCAGGAGATGAGTGAGATCGGTCGGATCAGGAGATGAGTGAGGTCGGGTCAGGAGATGAGTGAGGTCGGATCAGGAGATGAGTGAGGTCGGGTCAGGAGATGAGTGAGATCGGGTCAGGAGATGAGTGAGGTCGGATCAGGAGATGAGTGAGGTCGGGTCAGGAGATGAGTGAGATCGGGTCAGGAGATGAGTGAGATCGGGTCAGGAGATGAGTGAGGTCGGATCAGGAGATGAGTGAGGTCGGATCAGGAGATGAGTGAGATCGGGTCAGGAGATGAGTGAGGTCGGGTCAGGAGATGAGTGAGATCGGGTCAGGAGATGAGTGAGGTCGGATCAGGAGATGAGTGAGGTCGGGTCAGGAGATGAGTGAGATCAGGTCAGGAGATGAGTGAGATCGGATCAGGAGATGAGTGAGATCGGATCAGGAGATGAGTGAGATCGGTCGGATCAGGAGATGAGTGAGGTCGGGTCAGGAGATGAGTGAGGT